GAGAGCAGTGGGCCTAGTTTAGCAGGGAATAGCTTCATGGCCTTGTGCAGAGAGTGGATAAGGAGAGGTTTTCAAGAGTAGAGCAACAAAGTGACACAAACCAAGACCAAAGTCATTTTTAACCTGCTGAAATGAATAATACTAAAAAAAAAAACCCATGTTGCTGAAATTATATTGCTCCATTGGCAAGAGGATATACAACTGTCAAAATTCATAGACATGCCCTCAATTTGTCAGTCTTGACATTTTGAACCACAGAGGATTACTCTCTGCTCAAGATTGTTTGTGGGTCACATTACTGACATTGTATTATGAGATATGATGATTGTGTCAAACAGTTCAATCTACTTCTTCAGTGCAACTGACTCCCACATTAGATCTGTTTGTTGGAACCAGCTAAAAATATCTTGTTTAGATACCAAATCTGGGGCATCGGGACTTGTTACCGACTCCCACAAGGACTTCATTGAATTGATGTTTGAAGATTGATATCAGAGAGACAAAATATTCCTTAACGATAATGAGTCCATTAGTGTACTTCTAAAACAAGCCAAAAAATTGCTCAGCAATGTTTAAAGGCACATTTGAGAATGATGACTCATTGCTGTCCTAGCAGCAGGTGTTGGAGAGTAAACACTTTCAGGACAGAGTTCAGTCAGCCTGCATGGATCATCTAATTGAGTCGGAGTATCAGGAAGTTATTGTTTTTTGGTTTTGTGTATGAATAAATAAAAACAATAATGAAACAAAGATCTTTATAATTCAATTAACTAAAATAGAGCCTTCCCTTTTTCAGACTGTTACAATTGTGGACCATGGTTTTAAATTAAACAAACAAAAGGAAAAAAAGAGTTTTCCACTTTAGATGATTTAGTATTGATAAGCTGTATAACAACTTTTTAAAAATCTGAACTATTAATAGGGACAAAAGTGTTTTAGTCTGTTTAATGCAGTGTTTCGCCACAGGGTGATTGTCAACATCAAAATAAAAGGTTTTTGCAATTAGCAGGCTCTTAATTTCTGCCATTCCACCTTCTGGTCATATGCAAAATAGAAGCCACCAGCTGTATTTTTTCACATTTCCCACACATTTACATACATACACGGATCAATATGACCACCTGCCTAATATTGTGTTGGTCCTCCTTTTCCTGCCAAAACAGCCCTGACCTGATGAGGAATGGACTTCACTAGACCCCTGGAGGTCTGCTGTGGCATCCTGTAAGTTACGAGGTGGGCAACTTACAGGATGCCATGGATTCGAGTTGTTTGTCCAGCATGTCCCATGGATGCTTAAGTAAATTGAGATCTGGGGAATTTGGAGGTCACGATATTAGCTAAAACTCATTGTTGTGCTCATCAAACAATTCCTGAAGCATGTTATCTTTGTGGCAGTGCACAAATCCTGCTGAAAGATGTCACGAGCATCAGGGAATACGGGTGTACATGGTCTGAGACAATTGTCCAGCCAATACAATTTGGCCCTTGTCAAACTCGCCAAAATCCTTATGCTTGCCCCGTGGGGACAAAAGGTTTACTTGCTCCCTCATGCATCCCACCAACTACCAGCTGCCATGATGAAGAGGTAATCATTGCTATTCACTTCACCTGTGTGTGGTCAGACTTTTATGACTAATCGGTTTAGTTTTTAAGAAAATCATTCATGCACACACAGACACAGCCACGTCTCACCTCAGAGGACATTAGCTTCCATATAGTATAATCCACTTAACCTAACTCTAACCCTATCCACAATCTGATTAACTCTTAATCTAACCTTAAACTGAATGTTAACCCTAAAAATTACATATGCCATAGAACCTGATTTTACTTGTCATTAAAGTGAAGTCAGGCTATTGCAATGTGACTGCACAGATTTATTTGCCCACATCATTAGTCATACAAGCAAAACTGCACACATTGCTCTCAGGCCCTTTAATTTCACAGTGATTCAATAAACTTGATGGCTCCCTATTGGTAGCAACGATTAATTCAAAAATGATGCTAACACTAAAATGTTTTAAAGAACACCAATAATCACTTTCCTCCTGTATCTGACTGAAATGACTGCTCTCTTGCAGAATTCCGTGCTAACATGCTTGAGTTTTTTCCTAGTGAAATTTTGCAAATAATAAATAGCTGTCTATACATAAATAAAAAAAAAAGTTAAAGTACACGTTGAGAGATAACTAAGGTTTTCATAGAAACTCTTGGTAAATACTCATCCTCTCTGAGTCGGCTGAATTTATGCATTGAATGTCTGCCTGCTGTACTTGCAGATTTCCCATCTAAGGCCTGGCATCATTCGGTGTGGCTGTAATGAGAGATGGAAGTGGGAGTAGTATGCTGTTTATTTCAACCATCTGTGACTGGCCTGAAAATTTCCCTTTAATAGTTTTCTCTGCACTGCACAGGAAGAAAATAACTGTGCTGCCAGTTGATCTGTATCAAGGAAGAGGAGTGCTCACCAAGTCGCTTTCTTTTTCAAGTGAAAAATTAAAAATCTCTGTGATATAATGTTTCTCTCTGAAAAACCATAAATTATTAATGTTGCCGCTGTGCTCGCAGAGTGAATGTTTGTGTATATTTTTAATTTGTTAATGTGAAACTAAAATGATTTTAAAAACATGGAGAGCAAGGACATAATTTGGAAATTGCAACTACTGCACAAGCATGTTTTATGAAAACCCAGTAAGTTTGACATTATAACCCTAACAGAATAACTCAGAATCCTGCAAAAGACAATTTCCAAAAACTGATTTTCTGGACTTAAATGAAATAAATTATTTGAAATAATTCAAACCTATGTTGATACTGTACATTGTGACCTGAAATGCAGGCACGGTGCACAAACCATAGATGAATGTGTCTGGTGACGGTCTTGCTGTGTGTTTCGGAAGACTACACCAGTGAATCCAGGGCTCTTTGGGGACAAAGAAAGCTAAGGTGAAATTAATTTTGTCAGCACAAGCAGGTTCAACTCCTTACAGGTGGTCAATCGTCTGCTCTTTAAATAGCACCACAGTGGGGAGTGTTGTAGTGCCCACATGTATTTATGAAGACGCAGCCGACATGGCCTACTTCTGGGTGACTGCTGATGTCCCAGCTGGGCACACCTCCTCTCTTTCTACGTGTGTGTATGTGTGTCTGTTTGCATGATTGTACTTTATAGGAATTTTTGTGCGACTTTACAGCTAAATTGATAGTAAACCTGGTGACTTAATTCTCAAGCGATAAAACCAAAAAATAAAAATAAAAAACCCAAATAGTCACTTTTTTCTCTCTAAGAATTTCATTTCCAGTAATTTTTGTGCAAAACCTGTGAGGTGTGGGTGTTGTGTTAAAGCAAAATTAAAAGTTTAAAAGTGCTTTTAAAAAACCCACATGACACCGCATCCCGTAGAACGGCATTAATAGCACTAAAAGCACTGAATGCAGGATGAGATTGTGCATTAATACCAAATGAAAGAGAATCAATTCCAGTATAAATGTTTTAGTGACTTTACTTTTTTAATTTATCTGCTGCATTTGATTGCCTCTGTGGCTATGTTGCTTTAAGCTACAGTTAAAATGGATGAAAATTAGAATTAGCACTGAAATAGAAAAGTAATGGCATCATTTTCTCAGTGGTAGGGCGGACACAACAGTTAAGCAATATGCCTGGAAATGCAGTTTTTCTTACAGCAGGGTTGGTTAAAAGTGGACAGATGAGCTCCAAAGGAAAATAAAAGGCTGCTGAAGGCATTAGGTCGTAAATCAATCAACCAATCAATAAAATACAAAAATGATTTGGTCTTTCTGAGATCCAGCAGACTACATCATTCTCACCCAGACTTCTTATATACAAGTCCCTCTTTGGTTCTGCAACACTTTCACCATGCAGTAACTGAATTCTGTATAATGGTCATGTATAGTGCCGACTACTTTTGTCCCCATGACATAAAAATTTGATTGGAAAAAAAAAGAGAAAAAAGATCCCTCTTTGTAAAACTTCCCCAGAAACAGAAAAGTGACAATCCAAGCCTTGGAATGTCTGTCCGGAAACTTTGCAAATGCAAATGAAAAACTAGCGCAGCATGCATAAATGCATTCATTTACACTAACTGTAAACCAAAAACCTTTCACCCACTAATTCCATCACCTCTCTGTGCGAGGATATGTCCATGGCACTGAAAAAGGAACTTGGGAGGGAAAACATAGGGAGGCGCTGTTGTTCATTTTACAAAGCAAATGCTGAAGGCTCACACAATTCTTCAATTCAAATGTGCTTTTTTTTTTTCTTTTTTCGCAAGCGTTTATCTGAATTTTGAATGTAGGTATTTGGACTTTGGATTTCAATTTGTAAAACAGTTCTAAAGTGGAAACTGCAAATATGTTGCACGACAGTAACGCACTATGGTAAAAATAAACGTGTCCTGTAATGATGTATTTAAACTAAATGCCATGCAAATGGATTCAAGCTGCGGGTCAAATTACAGCATTGTGCTCTCGTTATAATAATGGCACAGCGATGGATGGAACATTTCTTCCTCTATGCACTGTAAGCGGCTGGGAAATCTTAAAAAAAATATATTTTTCATTGCAGCTCCTTAACCTACGACAGCACCAGTTTCCCCACATTTGCATACAGCGGTGCTAGTATTACAAATGGCATAGGCTAATATAGCAAACTTTAGTGTGCTGTATATTCAAATAGGGACAAATGATTTTTGCTCACATGCGGGGTTTACTTACACAGATGCCTGCGTTTGCATGCGGGTACATGTAGGAGAGAAGGGGCAACACTGAAGACACCACCCAACTCTGTAGGGGAAGGGAGGCGGTACAAGTGTATGCGAAGGAGAGTGAGGAGAGTGTATGTTAGGGTGTGTGTGCTGAGGGAGGGGGGAAGGGGCTGAGGGAGAGAGAGAGAAAGAGAAACAGAGAGATAGAGAGAGAGAGAGAGAGAGAGAGAGAGAGAGAGAGATGCTCGTTTCAGTACCGCGGACAGTTCCCGGTAATGCAGCCAACAGTGGTTCGGTCCTTTCTACTGCTTTAAAGAAAGAAAAAGAAATCCAAACGGAGGTTTTAACACCTCTTCAGGACATAAAAAAAGAAAAGAAAAAGAGTCGTATATGGGTTTTATTGTGTGTGTGTTTTTTTAATGAATAGGAGGGTACTTTAAATCAGCGCGCACCAGGCGACATGTCTGGATGTTGTGACAAGCTACAGACAAAATGATTAGAGGACTGTGTTTGCAATCTCTGCGAGGTTTCTCGTCACTGAAAGGCTTTTTTCCTCCTCCTGTCAGTCTCTACAACCTTCAAAATCGTCTGCTCTTGAAAGGAAGTTAAAGAAAAAAAACAACAAAACAAAAAGAGAAAAGTGACAGCGTCGCATTTGCACCTTTTTCATTTCTGGCTAGATTCTAAAATAAGTTGTTCGACTTTTTTTCTGGTTACGTGCGTTTGTGGAAAAGGACATATTCCTATTGGATGTTACTTTCAAAAACTAAAAAGGCAAGCAAGGCAAGTGCTTCCCCCCCTCCATCCGGTCAAATAGCCTTCTTCCAGCACTCACTGGTTTTCCATGTAGGCTAATGCTCTTTTCCCAGAGGCGAAGGGAGTCCCACAACCACTAATGCAGTCAGCTTTTTGATGCGCCAGAATACACTCATCCTCTCTTACAACGACGATTCTTTACTCCATTCAAGTTGCTCTTTTCAGTTTTGCCGTCGAGACTACGAAGTGACATCTTCCTCCCCATTTTCGACAACTGTTAAAGACTGGTAGGTGATAATGGCAATGCAGCCATGAAAAATGCTCATTCGGATCGCTGTGAGATGAAGTTGGAGGTCCTGCGTCAAAATAACAGGGGGCTCAGCTCGGGCAACTTTTGACACGGACCCATCGCTTTTTTCTTTCTTTCTTTCTTTTTTGAGACTTGTGGTTGAAAGAGGTGTGTAGCCTGCTTGGAGCTGTTCATGACGGAAACGATGGCGCTGAGTCTAAACTGCAGGACTAATCCCAAAGAGCAGGCATCAGTTCAGAACAGTTTCCCAGATGTTGTTGAATTAAACGTCGGGGGACAGGTTTATTACACGCGTCACTCAACTTTGGTAAGCACCCCGAATTCGCTGCTCGGTAAGCTATTTTCTTCTAAAAAAGACGCATCTAACGACTTAGCAAGAGACCCCAAGGGTCGATATTTCATTGACAGAGATGGCTTTTTATTCCGGTACGTGTTGGACTACCTCCGGGATAAGCAAGTTGTCCTCCCGGACCACTTCCCGGAAAAAGGGAGGCTCAGAAAAGAGGCTGAATACTTCCAGCTGCCCGACCTGGTGAAGCTGCTGACCCCTGAGGATATCAAGCAAAGCCCGGACGACTACTTCCACAGCGACTATGAAGATGGGTCCCAGGGTAGCGACCACCGGCAGTGCCCGCCACCCTCTCTCGTTCCCGCGGACAGAAAGAGCGGGTTCATCACTGTGGGGTATCGAGGGTCGTGCACCATGGGCCGTGAGAGTCAGAGTGACGCCAAGTTCAGGAGGGTACCTCGGATACTAATATGCGGCAGGGTAGCCCTTGCCAAAGAAGTGTTTGGGGAGACGCTGAACGAGAGCAGGGACCCGGACAGGACCCCGGATCGGTACACCTCCCGGTTTTACCTCAAGTTCAAGCACCTGGAGAGAGCTTTTGACATGCTGTCGGAGTGTGGTTTCCAAATGGTGGCCTGCAACTCGTCAGTCACAGCTTCGTTCGTCAACCAGCACACAGAGGACAAGATCTGGTCCAGCTACACAGAATACGTTTTCTACCGTAAGTCACAGTGGTGCTTTAGTGAACGAAAGGTCACCGTTTGCAGGCGTGCACGCACACGCAAACTTGGAACGCCGCTAGAAGGCGCACATGGGTTGTCAGCTGGCGTGAGGGGAATATCTAGCTCTGGGGATGGGTGGGCCTTCCTAGCTGTGGACTCTTTTGACTGGTGTGAGCGTGCCAGTCACTTTATAGTGGGTGGTGAGATCCGATTGTCTGTATGGCAGTGCTCTTACACCTGACTTCTGCCAGCAGATTTGCTCGTTGACCAGCAGCCTGGAAGATTTCCACGATAAAGAACCATTATATATAAATTCCTTGCATGGATTCCACATTTCTGTGCCCTGTAGGTAGCCTGGATCTTCCTCTTTAAATGCAAGCACAGCTGCAGAGTCAGGTTTGCATTCTCAGTTGAAGTTTGTGGAGCGAAACCCATTAGAGATCATTTCCTGTAATTGAGGTTAAGCAAAGGTTTTCCACTTCTCCCTGGAAGCAGTGAAAGCTTCGCAGCTAACACATGATTGACAGGCTAGTCTGTGTTCCGATTCTGGCGTGTTCAAATCTATTACAGCATGCTGCAGCCTTCAGTGGGCTCTTATATTTCAAACGATTTAACCAGATTTTAAACATTTCACAACCATCTGAGCCAAGGCAGTTGTGAGAGCAGTGATTCATCAGTGCTTGCCATTTCTTATCATGGTACAATTTGCTATTCCACCTCCTCTCTGCTTTTATCCAGCCCATCTTTTCAACTTCTTGCATTCCCTCATAGCTTTTGCTACTGCTTTCCTTCCATTTTTCCATCTTTGCTGCTCAGTAGCTGCTGGCAGAGTGGTAGTAAAGAAGATGTCATCATGACTGTTATACTGGCTCTCATAAGATTTTACGAGGCAACAAAAACATCCATATTTTTTAATCTGAGAGTATATAATTGATGACAAATGTCATACTGATACTCTGGATGTGCTTAAGTTTTCAGTACCTGACTACTTAGATGGCAAAGCTTTTGTCACACAACCCCTGAAATGGTAGCAGGGGGGCATTTTTAAGAAACCAAGAACAATTCTGGAAATAAAAAGGCCTCAGATTTGATTTGACATAAGATAAAACCAAGTCACTCAACTACCTCACTGCATTTGATCAGGAATTATATCATAGCATTATGAGTACATGTAGACTATGGGATCCTATACTGCTCATAGTTACCATCCCGTTCAGTTTCTTAATGTGGAAACAATGTTTGGTTCATAGGTTTTTTGGAAAATGGCACATTTTTCTTTAAATTTTGCCACTGTACACCTAAACAGAGTGTTTTAAATAAAAAAATCAGTTTGTTGGTTATTGGATGGATATTTCAAAGGATTTTATTTCAGTCAAGGAGAAATAGTCCTGCAGTCATGCACTTTACTTGTCTTCTGTGGTCTTTCTATGCACCAGATTGTTGATTTTGCCACTCTTAAAGTTTTTCCTATCTCCCTCATAGCTCTATTTGGGGTTTCCAGTTTAATGATGGCCTCCTTTATTTGCATTGACATCTCTGGGCATCTCATCTTGAGATGTCAGAGAAAAGCTGAAACTGCAAATTACAAGTTCAACGCTTGGAATCAACTCAACATGTTTTATATGCATAATTTTGCCATGAAATAATAAGGGAAGAGACCTCATTTGGCCATAAAACGTCTTGTCATTCAATTCAGATTACTTCTGAGCGTCTGAAAAGGACTATGTATAAAAATGGCTGCAAGTCCTAAAAAATGATTGCACTTCTTTTATGAAACTTTTTTGAGTTAAAGCTGAAAGTCTGCAGTTCAATCACATATTGACTATTTCAATTAAAACTGTGCTGGTCTATATGTGCAACTGAATGTATCAACAGTTTTATATTAAATTTAAGTCTTGTCACATAAGCAAGGTACAGAGGACAGCATCGTGAATATAGATGCAAATAAAACATTTTAAAGCTGACAGCAGTGTTGTGCCAGATATCGTCACGTAAAAAAATAAAGGAGAATATGTTTCAGTGTTGTCAAAAAAGGTTACAGTTCTAAAAAATAAGAGTTGTGACCCGACTTATCTCCCAGGTAACACTCGTAATGCTGCAATCTCTCGGTTTAGTATTTTGTGAATACGTGTTCATTTTGCCGATAATTACATTATATTCTATGCAGAGTTCTGACTGGCATCCTTTTTATCCCAGCAGAAAAAGAAAACAGTGCAAATCAGCTTGTCTGTTGCAGTTTTTAGCAGCAGCCATGTTCTAAATTCCTATTCCATCCTCATTCCCAAAACATTTGTAATTACATAGCAGACCGTTCTCCTACTTTAAAGAACTGCAATAAAGCATTGGACACTGTTTTATATTCATAAGATTTTGTATTTCAAAAGGTAGGCATCTAACCCAGTTTTTTAGCACCACTGGCTTTGTTGTCTCATCTCAATGCCCAATCCTCCAGATGTTTGGCAAGCGAAAAGAGTTCTGAGCTAATCTGCACAAATTTTTACATATAACATTACATTCTAAAACGCTTATTTTTTAACATGTTCATACAATAAAATAAGGCCTTTATTAAATATTACAATAATCTTTTTTTGTGCATCAACAAACTTGTCATTGCCCCCAAACTTATGGACCTGACTGTTTTGCCTTTGTCCAGAACTATGGAGAATTTTAAATCAAACATTCAAGGTGCGATTGAAATGCAGACGTTCATATTTAATTCAAGGGGTTTAACTAAAGTTTTGTTTTTAGTGTTTAGGGTTTATAGTAATTGGTACACATAGTCCAACATTTTCAGAGGCTTGAAAGTAACTGGACACACTAACATCTTTCAGAAATTTTTAAATGAGTGCCTGATGTTTAGAATCCAGGGACATAACAAGATACTGTGTTTTGTCCCTTGAGATGCTCTGCTAGGGCTTTACCATCAGCTGAGACTTGTTTGTGGGTCTTTGCACTTGGTTTTGTATTTACTAACTGAGAAACATGCTTTAATGGGTTGAGATCAGGTGACTGACTTGGCCATTGCATTGAGAAACCCTTGGGTTGCTTTTACAGTATGCTTTGGGTCATTATCCATTTGTACTGCAAAGTGCTGCGCTGTTAGTGTTGCAGCATTTGGCTGAATCTGAGGACAGTATAACACCGTACACTTCACAATTCATCCTTCTATTTGTATGAGGAGTCACTTTATCAACAAACACTAATGGCAGCCTGTTTGACATGAGCTTTCTTTCCTTTTAGTTTTTTCTCCTCACATAATTCATTCTGCTATTTTTAATCTTGTCTGATCTTGTAGGTTGTTTTAGATATTCTCGACAAAGTCTAATCTGGCCTTCCTGTTATCAATTCTTTTAAAAAAATATCAAATTGTTGATTTGGCCCCCCTCTGTGAAAGGTTTATTTGGGGCTTTCTTCCTAACAAATATTGTCCTCTCTTGTGTACGTGTGTCCTCATGTCACACACATAAAACTGCTTGTCATTAAATTCTAGTATCTTCTGCATGTTGTGTCACTTGTTGATTAATTTGGAATGGTAAGTGGACTGATTCTTATGTAGCACTTTTCTACTTTGCCTGAGCACTCAAAACGCTTTATGTAACTTACCCCATCCACAACAGCTTCTGCTGAAGTGCTTTCTATCTAACAGTTGCAAACATTCATACTCCTATGGATGCATCAGAGAACATCTTGTGGTTAGTATCTTGCCCAGGGATATTTGGCATGCACACTGGAACAGCCAGGGATGAAACCATCAACCTTCTGATTAGTAGATGACCTGCTCTACCTCCTGAGCTACAGTCACCTCAGAATCCAGTATAGTGGTGTAGAAAATTATATATTTGAAAAAATAAAATAAAATAAAAAAGGAAAAAAACAAGCAAACTGATGGACCTAACTGCATTTTTTCCACCTCTGGGATGAGGGCCAGAGCCCCTGGTTTCAAAAAACACAGAGTCATGCATTCATCAGCGGCCTTGGGGAAAACCAATGCTAATCACATCAGTCAAATGAACGTGTGGTCCCAGAGCAAACTGGAGTAATTAAAAAAACAAAACAAAAACAAAAACAAAAGAAAACAAATGAACAATCAAACAGAAAAACGATTTGCAGAACTGTGTCCAGAGCTCTGCATTAAATGCCAGCATAAAGCACAATGACTCGAAGGCTCTTGGCTCTCATAACCTTCAGAAGTAGCACTAACAAGCTAAATAAAGTGGTGTTGAGGGCTGCTCAGATGAACACACACACACACACACACACACACACAGACACACACACACACACACACACACACACACGCACATTGCTTATACAACATCTGTGGACTGCTGCTGCCTTTCCTTGCTTACTGACAAACAACAAATGCTTCCTGGCTTTGCTGACAAATGTTCAGCTTGTTAGAGGCCACATGCTCAAAGGAGAATGGCAGATGTGCTTTGGCCTGTACTTCACTTCACAGTAGATATGCACACAGGTAAGCATGGCATTACGGAGCTTGTATAATGCTGTGGAATCACTGCAGTCACTGACAGTCCCATGCTTATCTGCCTGTCACATTTTTGGCTCGCTCATCAACCCCCCTGTCTCCCCCACCCCCACTACGCGCACACACACACACACACACACACACACACACACACACACACACACACACACACACACACACACACACTCTTCCGCTCCTTCATTGTCTGTCTTCGGTCTCTTTTCTTTTCATGTCACCTCATTTTGCTCTAGTCAGTCATACCCAACTCTTCTCTCTTGTCTCGGTTCCCACTGTCCCTCTCCTCAGCTTCATTTTGCTACATGCAAGGGGTAAGGAGCGCTGTGGCGGCACCAGTTGCCTTTATATGCCTCACTGAAGCGTCACGCCTTCTGTCTTGCTTCTTATTCACATCTTTGTCTGTGTGACTCTGTAATTGTTTATTTTATCTCCAGATTTCTCATTCCTCATTTGAGGTATTCTATCAGCCTTTTTAGTGTACACTACTGTTAAGTC